GGAAGTAGAGTCTCTGATGAGCTTTCTTGATCAGGCTGGTGGTGTTGTTGCTCCAGCTGAGGTTGTTGTTCAGGTGCACACCCAAGTACTTGTAGCTGGAGACCACTTCCACCGCAGATCCTCTTATGTTCAGGGAGGTGTAGGTGTTTTTGTGCCTTCTGAAGTCCATGATCATCTCCGTCTTCTTCATCTTCTGCGGGTCGTTTGAGTCTTCTGTAAAAATAAACTAGGGATGCACGATATTATCGGCATGGTATCTGTATCGGCTGATATTAACGATAAAGTTACGGTAAGTTTGGGACAATCAAAACAACTCACCGATACAAAAGGCTTTTGTTTTAAGTTAATTTTTAATTGAAGAAACTGTCGATTTAACCTTTTTTGTTCATAATCTTACGTCATCTGGAGCCGTTTCTTTGTTTCGTTTTGTTTGTGAAGTCTATTAACTGATGCGCTTTTCACGTACGATCAGGTCGAGTTTAGATTGTGAAAATGATAAGTGTGTGCAGCTCCGGTGTTGTCACTGTGTTAAAATGTCACAAATAACATTTGACATTAAACATAATCAAGTTAAAGTGTTGCATCATTTTCAGCCTCATTTGTGGCCTGTGCACTTGTCAGCAGGCCAAAGATCAAAGACCAAAGATCAAAGATCAAAGATCAAAGACCAAAGATCAAAGATCACGCAGAACAATTTAATACTCGAGTTCCACGGTAGACAAAGCTCAAACATCCAATGTCCTGAATAAAAGGTAAAGTTCAGCTCTCGCTGCTGAACTTTTAAACTTCGTTCGTACGCTTTAACGTAGACCAGTTTCATAACGGGTCCTCATCGGGGGGACCAGCTGAATCTGGACCAAACAATGCCAAGATGGAAAGACATCACCAATGAGGCTGCTCATTATTATGAGAAGGGTCAAAAGTCATCTGGAGTCCAGTAAGACAGAAACATTCTCAAGTCAAAAGCATTTCAGACAGCTGACTCACCCTCAAGGTCAGACCGTGCAGTGACTCTATAGGCCTCAGTCAGCAGGTCAAAGGTCGTGACATACTCTCTCTAAAAACAACACTGCAGCTCGACTTAGGTTCCTCTGAAGGAACTGCAAGACTTCTGGACCAGAACCAGAGCAGAGGACAGGTGTTTACCCAGAATGCAGTGCAGCAAACAGCCCAGCTGTCAGCACGGTGGTGGAGGCTGATGGTCTGGGCTCCCGTCAGTCCCCGAGTGGACCAGAACTCCTCTGGAGACCAAAGAGTTCTGGACCCAAATCAAGTCCACCAAAAATAAACCAAAACAACCAACGTCATTTTTCTTCTAACGAGAGTTTAAAATAAATAAATTAGAAACAAACCAAAGAAACTTTATTTAAAGAGAAACAGAACGAGCGAGGACAAATTAAAAACACGATTCTTGTTTTCAGGAAGTTTTACAAAATTTCACTAAAAAATTATTAAAATGTTTCAGTGATGACTTGAAAATAACCAGTTGTTGGTTTTTCACCTCAACTGAAAACTACTGGAGGCGCGCGCGTCACCCGCCGCCACCGCTGGAGGCGCGCGCGTCACCCGCCACCGCTGGAGGCGCGCGCGTCACCCGCCACCGCTGGAGGCGCGCGCGTCACCCGCCACCGCTGGAGGCGCGCGCGTCACCCGCCACCCACAGTTTCAGACGGCGCTCTCCTGATGAACACCAACGATGAAGATCATGAATAAGGTCAGTGTTTATTAATGACTCTCAGCTACTACCACATCGTTACAGCTCATCAACTGTTCAAATGTTTTGGGCGTGTACGTCAGTCAGCTGTGGCAGCCATTTTGAACTGGACTCACTCCAAATGTCATGAACTGAGTCAAAGGGACGCGGCAGCAGTTTGACTGTTTCATGATCAGAAGCTTTGATCCCACATGAACCAAGTTCTCTACAGACCAGCTGAAGCTGCAGCTCATCGCCAGCAAACTGGTTGGGCCACTGGTGTGCTGCTTGTGGGACTGAGTTTGTTGTGGCTCCTCGGACTGAAGAAGTCCTCTGGATGAAGGACGAAACGTTTCAACAAAAGAACCCATCCAGATGACCTGACTGAACTTTATTTTACCTTCACTGTCAGGAGGGAGAACTGGACCTCAGGAGTCCAGGATCCTGAAGATGACACCTGATCTCAGGTGGGGGGGCACACACCTGATCTCAGGTTGGGAGGGGGGGACACACACCCCTGAGCTCAGGTGGGGGGGGACACACACCTGAGCTCAGGTGGGGGTCAGTTTGGAGTGGGACACGCCTCCTGCTCCTCAGGTCTGTTGCATAACGTCAACCTACTTTGAACCAACTTACAGTAAACAGCAGCCTCTAGGGAGGGGGAGGGGGTCGGTTCTCCTGATACCGGTCGGGACCCCCTCCCGGGGCTGAGCCGGACCCCCCAGGTTCGGGCACAGCAGTGATAAGCAGCTTTCCACAGACTTCCAGCCGCTCGGAACCAACAGGTTGCCTCAGACTCTCTGACACGTGTGGCCAAAACTTGAGTCTCCGTCCCCCCCTTCACCTCCAGCCCGGCTCCCCTGCGCTCCCCTCCGGCTGACAGCTCCGCAAAGTCCCCCCAAACTACCTCCTGCGCCGTGTCAGTCCCGACAAAGTGATCCGGACCGGCCACAGGTCCAACTCCGAGCTGCTGTGGGTGCTAGTTAGCATGCTAAGTGAGTGGAGTGTTGACGGAGCAGAAGTTCGGAACAGCAACAGAACAACAAGAATAAAAGTGCTTCGACTCGGTCCAAACAGACCGGCTCGGCCCGGAAAGGCTGTGTGCTGAGCCCCGGTGGAGTTGTTACCTGCCGGGCCCTCTGTAAAACATCGACCAGGTCGTCTGACTGGAGCCCCGGCTGGTTCATCGAGGCCTGTCCCTGCAGCAGCTCCGCCATCACCGCCACCGTTAGCTTCGCTGCTAGCCGCGCTGAGAGAGGAGACGAGCGAGAGGGCTCACTCTGACGCGTTTTCACAAACCGCTGCTGGCCGCGCACAGACAGAGGCAAGAGGGCTCACTCTGTGGCAGTTTCCTCACACCGACTTTACCACTCAGGGTCATTGTTCCAGAGCTGACAATAAACTTTAAAATGAGAGCACTGCAACCATAGCATAAGTATGAACGTGGTTTAAACATTAGTCCAACAAACTAAATACAGATCAAATAAAAAAGTAAAATGTTCTGTAACAGTAGTGTCAGCAGATGAAATGCACTGAAGACGATTGAACTGAATTCAAACTACAATGAGCAAAATCTAGCTAATAACCAAAAGCTAAGTTGTAGCCAAAAGCCTATAGAAAAATGTTACCAAAAAATAGTAGTAGAAGCAAATTTATAGCTATAAGCTAAAAATAGCAAAACAGCAGCTAGAAGCTAAAAGTAATAAATGCTAATATCCTGATGCATGCTCAATAATCCAGGTAGAAAAATCTAAAAAAGTTAAATCTGGTCCTCTGGACATTCAAAAAAACAAAGCAAAACAACAACAAAAAATTTAAAAAAAAGGAGGGGGTTGTTGTTTTGCTTTGTTTTGTTTTTTTGAATGACCAGATTTAACTTTTTTAAATAGAATGCTAATTAAAAGCCATTTAGACCGACTAAAGGCTTAAAGTGACCAAATGCTGAAAGTATCTAAAATCTGGCTAGCAGCTAAAAGTAAGAAAAGGGAGACTGTGATCTGAGTATTGGAAAACTTGCTAAAAGTAGCAAATGAAGACAAAAACAGAACTAATAGCTAAAGAGAAATGTTTCTGAAGGAATAAGGAATATTTGGACCAATACTCTTTACCTTAAATTTGCTTCCATTAGGTAAAGTTCAACAATTTTCAGTCAGGTCATCTGGATAGTTACTTATTTTTTTTTCTTTTTTTTTTTTCTGAAACGTTTCACCTTCCATCCGGAAGGCTTCATCAGTCAAGGAAACACAACAAAACTGATCCCCCTTTTTAAGGTTAGGTAGAGTTATTAACAACATGGGATAAATGTTCATTGTTATGCTGATGACACACAATTATATTTGTCCATTAAACCCAATGAATCCAATCAGCTACTTAGACTACAAGCATGTCTTAAAGACATAAAAACCTGGATGACCCTTAATGTTCTCCTGTTGAACAGACAAGACTGAGGTTTTGGTTTTTGGACCTGAGCACCTTAGGAATGAATGTTTCAGTCTTTCTCCCTCCTTAGATGCATTAATCTGTCCTCCAGCTCTAATGTTAAAAATCTTGGTGTTATTTTTGATCAGGACATGTCTTTTATCCCCCACATTAAAACGTTACTAGAACCTCCTTCTTCCACCTGCGTAATATCACTAACATTAGAAACATGTGATCTAAAGATGATGCCGAAAAACTGGTCCATGCATTTGTCACGTCTAGACTGGACTATTGCAATGGTTTATTATCTGGGTGTCCAAATACTTCTTTAAAATGTCTTCAGTTGATACAAAATGCTGCTGCCAGAGTCTTAACTGGAGTTACTGGGAGAGATCACATCTCTCCAGTTTTAGCTTCTCTCCATTGGCTCCCTGTCAAATCCAGAATAGAATTCAAAATCTTACTTCTAACCTACAAAGCCCTCAACAACCTAGCTCCATCTTATATTACAGATCTTATTGTTCCATATTTTACTAACAGAGCACTTCACTCTCAGACTGCAGGTTTACTCGTGGTTCCTAGAGTTTCCAGCAGCAGAATGGGAGGAAGATCTTTCAGTTCTCAGGCTCCTCTCTTGTGGAACCAACTTCCAGTTTCTGTCCTTGAGGCTGACACATTGTCCAGTTTAAGACTGGGATTAAGACTTTCCTTTTTGATAAATCCTATAGTTAGGGTCGTCTTGTTATGCTGCTATAGACTTAAACTACTAGAGGACAAACTGACCTCATTTCCTTAAATGAATTGTTAAAACTGAATATCCTGATGCATGCTCAATAATCCAGATAGAAAAATCTAAAAAAGTTAAATCTGGTCCTCTGGACATTCAAAAAAACAAAACAAAGCAAATCAACAAAAAAATGTAGAAACGTTTCGTCTCTCATCCTGAGGACTTCCTCAGTCTGAGGCACTGTATTCAGCTCAGTCTCTTAAATAGCACCTTCTCAGAGTGGATCAACCAGTTTTGCTGCTGACAACCAAACCCAGCCGGTCGAAGCAGATGGTCCTCTTGTCCTGATCCTGGTTCTGCTAAAGGTTTCTTCCTCATGAGGGAGTTTTTCTTTCCACTGTTGCCTTCATGCTTGTTCAAGATGAGAGTTCAGTGATGGAGTTAAACTCAAAGCTGCTCCTCAGATAAATAATGTTCAGTTATTATTTTATAGATGAATGTTTCTGTTAAATTATTATTTTATACATGAATGTTTCTGTTCAATTATTATTTTATAGATGAATGTTTCTGTTCAATTATTATTTTATACATGAATGTTTCTGTTAAATTATTATTTTATACATGAATGTTTCTGTTCAATTATTATTTTATAGATGAATGTTTCTGTTCAATTATTATTTTATACATGAATGTTTCTGTTCAGCCCTGAGATGATTCTGTTGTGACTTGGAGCTGAAGAAATAAACTGGATTGAACTGAACTGAATTAAATAAGTGGTAAATCAAGTAGTCAGGTTAAAAAACATAAAGGAAAATTAAACAGGATAATAAAAGTGTTTATGTTGATTTAGCGTTAAAAAAACAGTTTGAACTGTAAATTGATTTGCTATATCATCTTTAAAGATTAAAAAAATACAAAAAAACGTGAAGTGGGTCATCTTACTTACAGACGATCTCGTACCTGCTCAGCTGTTGACAACTCTTCTCTGTTTCTACTTCCGGGTTGAGTCACGTGTCTGAGGCAGCTCCACAGGTGGAGGAGTCGTGGCCTAAAAGAAAGAAGACAAGAAGAAAAAACAACTTTTGGTCCTTGTTAATTAATAATACAAAGTTTTATCATCAACTTTACAGATCTAAATTCTGTAAAACAGAATGTGATTCCTTCTTAACGAATATTGATCCATTTGTTCTGAAAATAACTCTAAAGAAACGTGTGATGATCAACTTCCAACTGGAGAACTTGATGCAGTTATTGATCGTGTATCTGTTAGTAAAGCTCCAGGCTCTGATGGCTCACAGGGAAGTTTGATAGGTCTTTGTGGGGAAACAGAGAACTCTTCCTGGCTTTTGTTGAAATCTTTGAAACTTCCACCTACTATGAGTCACGACGTCATGATCTCAATTCCAAAACCTAACAAAGACCCCCGAGTGATGGAAAACAGAAGAGCCATCAGAAACTCAGAACTGTTGACACTTCTGCTGCTCGTCTTCAATCGGAGCTTTCACGTCATCTCAGAGACGCAGTCTGGATTCTTAACGGATCGGTTCATAACATCAGGTCTTGTTACGACTTCACTGAAAACAGAGACCTAATTAAAGATAATGGCTTTATTGTCTTTTTGCACTTCTACACCAGTTTATAAAGCAACACTTAAACAATTTGGCTTTGGTGATAAATTTAGAAATTTAATTGGAGGTAAAACATTAACAGTTGTTTTATTCTCTACCGGTTCGACCCCTAGCTTCACAGTTGATGTTGGAATTCCTCAGGGCGCCCTATTTCACCTCATCTATTCATTTTAACGACTGACATGTTGGCCATTTATATTAAAACCAGTAAGGACATAAAACCCTTGAATGTACTGGGAACAGAGATTGTCATCAGCCAACTGGCAGATGACACAAGATTATTCTTAAAAAAATGAACATCAAATCCCAATAACTCCAAAAAAATGAAACATTTTACAAAAATGTAAGTAAATGTGAACTTTTCGCTCCTCGTGATACACCTGTTCAAGAACTTTGATATCAAATATCTGGACATCACCTAAATCAAGTTAGAGATCAATACCAATGATCTCTAATAATTGATCCCAGATTTAACCAGTTGACTTCCAATGCACCATTAAGACAATCTGATCTATGACTTTAGGTCCACCTTCATTTATGTATTTTATCATATTACTTTTATTACTATAACGTGGCCTATTTCTCCAGATGAAAATTAACTTGATTAATGGATTTTAATAAATTATCTGGAATAACATTCGAGTAAATCCAACACATCTTGATAAACTTTTCATTTTTGTTAAATATATTCTGCCTAAAATTGATAAATCTCTTTGGATCCATAAGTTTAAATTTGTTTTGCAGGTCTTGAGTTTATTTTCAGCACTGAGTAATTGATAAGTTGTTTGGTCTTCCTGTTTAGACAACGAGGAGGTTTGAAGCTGCAGCTCAGTTCAGAGTTTGAAGTCAAGAAGTTTCCTGTCAGTTCCACAAACAAATATTGATTTATCATTTTCATCTGCACTCAACAATAATCTGAATATCAGATTTGTATGACATCATAACAAATGTTTGTTCTTGAAGGACGGGTGTGAAACAAACGTTTGTTCTGTCACTCACATGATGGAAGAACAGAAGCTTCTGGAATTAGGAGCAGTTTTACAGCAAATACAATTTAAACACTATTTTACAGTTTTCATGTTTATTTAATGCATTTCCTAAAGAACTGATATTTCTGATCAAAAACATAACGACCCACCAAACTACACAATCACCTCCTTATTGATCCATGGGTCCGATTTATAGATAAACTGTAATCATTATTTTATAAGGAAGTGTTTAACCAACCATTTATTTCCTGGTCTACAAAATAAGAAGAATATCGTCAATAAAGTTGATCAACAATCGATCAGTAGAATAAGATCAATGTGTTTAACTTTTTACAACTAAAGTAAAAGAAACATTTTAAAATGACATTTATCATCCAAGGACTGACTGAGAGAACACGTGCACGTTCCGAGAGAACACGTGCACGTCCCGTGACAGTGATGCTTTGATGCAGGTGATAAC